TTGTGTATGGTGTTAGTGGTCCACTTTCATTCTTTTCCATGTGGTTGTCCAGTTTTCCCCACCACTTATTGAAGAGACTGTCCTTTTTCCTTTGTATACTTTTGGCACCTTTACCAAAAATTAATTGACCACATATGCATGGGTTTGTTTAGCCAATACCATATTGTTTTGATTACAATAGCTTTGTAATATAGTTTGAAAGCAGCATGTGTGGTGCCTCCAGCTTTGTTATTTCTAAAGATTGCTTTGGTTGCTTTAGGTCGTTTTTTTTTTTTTTAGCCGAGCCATCCTAATACCTGTTGGCAGCTCAGCTCAGGCAGTGAATCAAACCGGTGTCCCTGTTGCTCAGAGCTCACACTCTTGAGTGAGCTCTTAACCAACTGAGCCACTCGGCCGGCTCTTAGGTCGTTTTCTTATTGTTGAGTTTTATGAGTGCTTTGTACATTTTGGTTAACAGTCTTTTATCATGTCTTTTGCAAATATTTTCTTCCAGTCTATGGTCTGTCTACTCGTTCTCTTGATAGTGTCTTTTGCAGAGCAGAAGTTAATTTTAATCAGGCCCATCTTATAAATTATTTCTTTCAATGGGTAATGGCTGTGGTGTTTTATCTAGAAAGTCACTGCCAAATCCAAGATTTTCTAGGTTTTCTCCTATATATTTTCTAGGTATTTAAGTTTTGAGTTAAATTTTGTGTAGGGTGTAAGGTCTGTGTCTACATCCATTTTTTTTGCATGTGGATGTTCAGTTATGCTAGCACTATTTGTTGAAGAGTATCTTTTCTCCATTGTATTACCTTTGCCAATTTGTCAAATATCAGTTGACTATGTTTGTATGGGTCTATTTCTGGGCACTCTATCCTGTACCACTGACCTATTTGTCTATTCCTATTGCAATACTATACTGTCTTGATTACTGTAGCTTTATATTGACTCTTGGAAGTCATGTAGTATTAGTCCTCTGACTTTGTTCTTTTCTTTCTTTTCTTTCAATAGCGTGTTGGCTATTCTGGGTCTTTTGTCTCTCTGTATAAACTTTAGAATCAGTTTGTTGATATCCATAAAATAATGTGCTGGGATTTTGACTGGGTTGTCGACAGATTAAGTTAAAAACTGACATCCTGATATTGACTCTTTCTATACATGACTAGGAATATCCCTGTTTATTTAGTTCTTCTTTGATTTCATCAGTTTTGTAGTTTCTCCCACATAGCTCTCGTACACATTTTGTTAGACTTATTTCACTTTTTTGGGTGCTAATGTAAATGTTTTTCAAATTCAAATTGTTTTTGGTATATAGCAAAGTGATTGACATTTGTATATTAACCTTGTATCCTGCATCCTTGACATAACTGCTTATTAGGTTCTACAAGTTTATTTTTTGCTTGTTGATTCTTTTGGATTTTCTATAAGAAATGTCATCTGTGACCGGTTTTATATCTTCCTTCTCAATATGCATACTTATCTCTTCTTGTCCAATTGCATGATTTAGGACTTGAGTACAATATTGTAAAAGTGTTGAGTGAATGAACATCCTTGCCTCTTTTCTCATCTTAGTGTCAAAGCTTCTAGTCTCTAAGTATGTTAGATACAGGTTTCTTATAGCTATTCTTTGTCAAGTTGAGGAAGTTCCTCTCCAGTCCTAGTTTTTTTTTATGTCATTTTATGTTTATCTGCATGTCTTTAGCATGCTTTTATTGTGTGTGGGGATATTATTCTGCTCTTTTGACATTTGATCCTTTCCATTACCCATATTTGAGTTAGTTTTCCTGCAACTTTAAGGAGACATTTGAGTTTTTCTAGTTTCAAGGTTCTACAGTACTTCCTTTTAGGTGCACAGTATTAAAATATGGAGTATAGCAACAATAGCTGTTTTAAATTCAGCACAAAATTTACTTAGAACTTTAGGTCCATTGGCTTCCCTCAGAAGTTAAAGAACAAGATATTTAATATCCTCATTTTGTTCCTAGGACAATATATCTAGGATTTAATGGGACAGTCCTAGATTTGCTTATTCAAAATACTTCATTTAATGTGATCACCCCACTCTCATCTTTATTTTGACTGCCCTGCTCCATCTGGATTTTATTAGGAGTATGTTTTAAATGTGCTCTGGCCTGAGGGCTTTGCTGGTTATAATTTTCTTGAGCCCAGACACTCCAGTCCCTTGACCTAACCAAGTATCCTTTGTATTCACTGTAAATCGCTCCAAGTTTTGGCTGTTCTCAAATTGGCTCACTGAATTTCCGTTATTTGTTGTTTTGGAGTTCAGGGATCCGTCAGATGCTCCATTGCTTCAACAGGTGATACCACACAGGTTTTGTGGCTATTGGTGATTTATTTCTACCCACATTTTGTTTGGGGGGCACATGGAGATACCTAGTTTTCCTGTAATGTTGCCCAAAGTTTTGTTTTGCTATTATGGCTGCTCTGTGTGTTTTCACGGGGGATTTGAGAAACATTCAAAACTATTATCTCCATCTCTGCTAGGTAAGTTTTGAATGTACAATAGAAGCAGGAAAAAATTACAGGGGAACACCGTCTCCTTCAATAACAATGCTTTTCTTTAAGCTGTTTCCTTTAACAATCTTCAGCAGAGGTTTAATAGGAATCTTGGCAACCCTTTATCTGAGTTATGGAGGTGCAGCTCTAATGAAATTTATTATCAGTGTAGTTGCAAAGCAAATAGCCAACTTCATGTGGACAATTGTGTCTTTTTTCAGGGTGACCTGTTAAGCAGAATCCTGAACTATCAAACTGATGCTTGAGGGCCCAAAAAACCAGAGTGCTGTTTTTAACGTAGAAAAGGGGATGATATACTTTTTCAGACGGTTAAGTGACTTCAAGTCAAGGTTTCACAGCATTTCTAGGTGTCTCTCTTTTGTTTCCTGGCTAAACTGCAAAATTTCCAAGACTGCTGGTTTGGGTCTGCCATATTAGAGAAATCTTGGACAAGTTATATCCTCTGAAATTCATTGAAAAAATTACAACAAATCGGAATAATACCTTATATATTAAGTATGAATGAGAAAGCCAAGGACATAAATGGAAGTGTGGTAAACTGTAGTCACATAGTGACTTTGCACTAGTTTACTTCTATAACACTGTTGAGCTTCTTATATTGATACTATATCAAAAGCAGAGTACCTAGTAATAGAGTAGGTATTTGACAACAATAGTAAATAGACTACTAATTCTTAACAGGCAGGCGGTTGTCTTACTCATCTTCACATTAGCACCTTACACATAGCTCAGTGCACAGTAGGTGTTCAGTCAATGATACGGAACACAACCTTCCAATTCTGGCAAAAATCAGATGGGCTTATTCATAATCAGAAGCCCTGTGGTACATCTGGAACACTGTAATAGGCCTCAAGTTCTTGTCTTTATAAATTCTAGCATCTGACTTGTTTTCATCACCGAATTATGAGACCAAATAAACATTTGTATATGGAAATGCTTTTTAAAGAAGACCACACACCTACTCTCTTCTTACCTCAGGCAGAATTCAGTTGTGGCTGTTGGCAGGTTATCTAGGTATCCTACAGGCATTTTGGAAAGGTCATCTAAAAAGAAATTATTTTTATTATGTCTCCAACTGGGTCTTTTCTAAACTCCCTACAGAAATAGCATTTTCTCCATTTTTCAACCCCTTATGTGCTTAGCAAAACGCAGTCTCTTACAGTCTTAGTAAATATTTGTCTAACAAATGTTTGCACAAAATACTGCCACACCAATCCATCAGCAAGCACTGCTGTTTACTTGCAAAACATATCCTGATTCCAAGTACTTCTCCTTATCCTCGCTATTCCTGTTTCAACAGAAGCCATCATTGTATTGTTGCTTGCCTGAGTAACTGCTATAGCTTCCAAACTGGTTTCCTGGTGTCTATGCCTCTCTCCAACAGGATCAAAACAATCACAGAGTAATTTTAAAAACAACCCCAACAAACCATAAATTAGACCATGTCACTTCTCTGCTTATAATCCTGCAATGACTCTGCCACTGTACTTAGAATACAGATTCTTTAAACTAAATCCATAGGCTCCACATCAGGGACCAGCAAACTATAGCCTACAGGCCAAATCTATCTTGCCACTTGTTTCTGTAAATATAAGTTTTACTGGAGCACAGCCAAGACTGCCTAGTTTTTGTACTGCAATGGCAGAGCTGAATAGTTGTGACAGAGACCATACGGCTTGCAAAGTCTAAATATTTATTATCTGGCCTTTCACAAAAAGTTTGCTGACCCCTGCTCTGTATGATCAGACCCCCGTCTTCTTGGATATCGGCCACCCCCTTTCCCCACCTTGGTCATTCACTATATCCTAATCAAGCCCTTTCTTCCTCAGAGGTGTTGCACCTGCTCTTCCTACTCCGCAGCACTGATCTTTATTCATATCGTCCCATGACTGCCCCTGTATCAATGAGGTCTCAACTTAAATGCCAACTCCTCAGGGACCTTCCCAGATCAACTAATCTAGAGTAGCTCCTTCAACCTCCCTGGTTACATATCTTCTATGAGACAATAACCTGACTATTTGAAGTTATGGACTAATATGGTCTTTACCCTGCTCTAGAATGTAAGCTCCCTGAGGGCAGAGACCTAACCTACCTACCCCCATGCCCCATTTTAATCAGCGTAAACCCACCACCAAAACCAATACCTGGAATTATTTATGAATGGAAAAGAAAAAAGATCAATAAACAGTTGCTGAATGAATGAGGCCAAGGTCAGGAGCTGCAGTTTGGTTCGAGTCAGTTTGCAAAGTTCCATTCCACTGTGGCAGGCTGGCTTCAACACTGGCCTGCCCTTAATCATAAAAGGCTGAGGGAAGATCAGTCCGTATTTCTTGCCCCATTATGGGCAATGCAACTCCACCAAAAGCACATTGTCCTGAATGTGGGTCCACCTTGCTCTCTTCAGGTAAGGAAACAAGAGTTAGGAAAACCAGGCAAGGCAAAGGTCACAGGACTGGATAAAGAAGTTCTCAACTTGATGATTATTATGGTTAAGAATTTTATTATCAAAATTATTACATCTCTTGTGAAAGTTCAAATGTTACAGCAAGGTGTAAACACTCCACTTGAGAAAGAAGTGATACTTCTTCCCTTCCAAGAGTTCCCCCCACCCCCACCCCCATCCCCCCCAGAGGTCTGGTCTTGACAGCACCCTGCCCACACAGAGTAGCTGGGGTCTCTGCACGTGCCAGGCAGGGTGAGGGCCGCCTGCCCGCTGGCCTCTCCCCTTGGTTAACAGCCAAGGGAAGAAAGCAAACCCCAGCCCAAATGGAGAGACATTTACATACGTTTTATATAATATACAAAGAAACCAGCATCCCAGGCAACATGATTTCTACTCCCAACGCTCTCCCAGACTGATGGGTTTGTGGGGGAAACAACAAAAAGAAAAGTATTCTGCTGAGGTCTCAGCATAAAAAAAAAATCTCCCCTCATTTGAGCAAACACCTGATTTCAATTTTGAAAAAGTGAAATTTTGTAACAGTCACACACAAAGAGAGAAGACTGTGCATATGATAGTTGTAGGAGGGTAGAAGGAAGGGGATGCAAGAGGCTGGGGAAGAAAAGGGGGAGGAAACAAACTGGAGGGAAGGGAGGAGGGAGACTCACAGTATTATCTTGTCCAAAAGAAAAGAAGTAAGGTCCACTGCAGCACCAGGGATTACACCTGTCACAGATCTGCTACCCCTACCATGGTTATAACTGAATACAAAATTAGATAAATAAAAACACGCCGGATATTACAGTAAACAAGTGAAAGAAATAAGCTGGCAACCGTATGGAATTTAAAAAGATTGTGTACCCCACCTGGGCTGGCTCCAGGGCTCCTCCAGGGGTGTACAACAGGCACAATGCACTGATGGGGAGAAGCCAGTCTGCTTTTCTCTCTCATCCAGAACAGTGTTAGGTGTGTGGGTGGCTCTGTAACTCGCACCTGTGCCCCTCTCAAATAAGCATCCCCCAAAGAAATGTGGGACACGCCCACACACAATCACAGTCCTGTCGGCACCACTCCACACACATCTCCACTCTTACCCTGCAGTCACGAGTGCATGCTCCCCAATCATGGAGGCGGTCCTACTCATGGGATCGTCACCTCCTGATTAATTGGGAGTAGAAAAAATAAAATTCAAAGAATTCCCAAACCACTTGGGGTCCTTCCTAATCAAATTTATTGCCAACAGCTGATACGTAGCAATGCAAATTGGCCCATCTTACTTATCATTTCTCTTTGCCTACTTACTCCATGGGTTACTGAGCTGTGAAATAGTTTGGGGAGGGGGATGGGAATGGTAACAGCTGGGGACTCAGACAATCTACTAGGATAATCTGCTCCTGAATAATCAAGAGTTGACCACCAGCTCTTCTTCAGAGAGCAAGGTACTCCTTGGTCAGAGCACATTCCAAGCTTCATTATCCCTGCCTATTTCTTGGTGATTTTAAGACAAAGGTAGAAACATTCCTGGTGGACATGTCTTGGCCATATATCTGCTTTTGGAATGGTTGTGTTAGGTGAACATTTACATACCTACCTTTTTCTTAAGTGCATAAAACCCTAACACTACTCAGATGGCTTGGGGCTTTGAGATTGGCTCTTTTCGTTTTTTTTTTCCCTTTGAAAGAAAACTTTTTTTTGGATTTAAAAAGATGTCCTCACTGCACAAGTGACTACAGGCTACAGGCAACGATGGGAGACGGAGGCTTCAACACACTCATTGCACTTAGAACCGTTACTAACCGAAACACCATTTGCTTGTCAACAATGTACCCTTAACAGCAGGGAGAAACTTCTTTATAGTCTCTGCTTCAGACAAGATTTACATCTTTCTCCAAGGCCAGAGCCAGTCGCGACCACAAGTCTTGTTTCTTGTCGACCAGACCCAATCCTCTGGCACCTTGTACCCCCTTCCCCAGCAATCTGCTTGGCCTAGGTTCCAGAGGCAGCTGGAAGGAAGCAGCTATGGGCTCAATTAGTTCTGTTTGCCCAAATCCAGAAGCCCTAGGAAAGTCCCGTCTGAGTCTTGACTCCCGACCCTTGCAGCGGCTGGAGCCGGTACTGGTGCACACCCCCACCCCCGCGGTGCGGGTAGTGCTGTGAGCTGGAAACCGCAGATACCCTGGAGGCCTGGTAGGCAGCGGACTGCCCGGCACTGGGCAGACTGATAGTCCGTAAGTCTGATGGCAATGATGACCTAGAGTTCTGAGGAAAGGTGGTGGAACTCAGAGTTCCTGTGCTGGACTGGGAAACCGAGTCTGAGGTCGGTGAGTCTGTGGGGCCCTGTGGGGTAGGGCTAGCAGCACTAGACGGGCAGCTCCTCCTTGGAAGACTGCTGCCCGTGCTGTTTCCAGAATGTGGCTGGCTGCTATAATACCCTGGTGTCCCCGTAAATGGGGCCAACGAGTCTGTGGACACAGGGTGGGCGGGGCTGGAATAGGATGTGGAGGAGAGAGAGGATTCTGAAGAAGCGTGAGAGGGGGGATTCCCAGGTCTCAGTGCAGTAGTTCGGTAACTGTATCCTGGAGATTGGGTGGGATGTCCTCGAAAGGGGGAGGAACTTTGTTGAAGGAGGCTTTGTGATTCTGTCCGCGGACTGTCACACTGCAGGAGCTAGAAAGAGTTGGGAGGAAAAGCATAAAGAAATGAAAAAGTCTCTATTTAAGCTGTTTGTGAACATTTAAAATATCCTACTTTTTCTTCTTCTTTACCTTCTTAACCATTTGTTCTTTTTAGGATACCAAAGACAGTAAAATGGCTGTCTCTGGTTACTTTATTTTTCTGGCATGATTTATTTCCTGAAGGTGAGTAGATGGTGACATTTCCAAGGTTTCTGTAACTATATGCAAAGACAGCATCTCAACTGCAGAGGATGGTCAGGATCACAAAACATTTGGAACCTAGAGCATCCTATGCCCAGAAATGAGTCATTTCTCGTCTCACCTGGTAGCTGTATCTGGAAGGGCTGTAAACGGCTGCTCCTTTAGAGAGTGCTGAGCTCAGTGTCTCCGGGCCTTCTCCATCTGCAGGGTCTGGAAGGTAATACGAAATGAACCTGACTTCTTAGAATAAGTGATAAATAGCCCTTGATCACTGAAATCACCAATGCCATCACTAACCAATGCTGCTCTCTTTCTGAAAAATCAGGTGAGTGCAGCATGCCAGAAGGGCAAAAGGAGTGGTTAATTATGGGCTATGTCTTAAATGCCTGATCTGATTTCCTGTCTCTTCCTTTCTCTTCATCCTTCTTCAAGGTGGGTTTCCAGGACTTTGGAGAGAAGAATTACAAAAAGGTATCCCTTGGGAAAAAAGAGCAGACAGAGAACAAGCAACGCTATTGGGTTGTCGGAAAAGTCATGACGCATTTTTGCAACGAAAACACTGAAAAAATACGTCATGACTTTTCCGACAACTCAATAGATCTTAACACACTGTGGATCCGTGATGCAGATTTGCGTCTATACATTTAACTGCCCCATCCTCAATGTGTTAAGAATGCTGAAGCCCAAAAGACTGGAAGCGAGGCTGAGCTGAAACCTCGAATACAATGGAGCCCTACTACATCAGAAACCGACTCACCTCCGCCCAGCATTGGGTGTGAGCTGTGTGGAGCCTGGCTCACATGTCCCTGAACCTGGGTGGCAGCAACAGGCCACAGGCTCACCTGAGTCTTTCTCTGTGATGTTACTCTCCCACGTGGGAGAAGGCTCTCCTTTTTGGGCCACCCTCACACTGCTTCGGAGGACTTTGGGGATGCTCCCTCCTTCTCGGAGTCTTTCTACTGATGTAGGAACCATCCTGTGAAGGCAACGGAGTGCAAGTTTATGCCACAGGACTTTAGAGTCAAAGGGTCTGGAAAAACTGAAGCGCTGACAAAGGTTTTACAACATATTCTCTAAAAAACATCCTCTGAAACGTAATTTTTTTCAGGACCAATTTAGAATAAGGTATTTTTCCTCTGCTTCAAACTACGTCAGGCACAGAAGAAAAAACACTTTTAAAGAAAAAGCAATCAAGGAAAAAGTAAATTTAAAGATGTCTACTTCTTTTAATCTCCATTTTCAAACGCTAATTTTTTCTTCTGTGAAGTCATGTGCCTGGCACATAGTAGCAGTTTAACTAATGTTTCATAGATGAATAAAAATTATTCATTTGAGCTATGTTTCTTCTTTTGCAGACTTTCTTCTGTTCAAGATCCCTGAACTGCCTTGCTCTTTATTTCACTCATACAATACTCAGTACTTGCCACCAGTCTTGTTTATTTGTGGTCTCCCTTAAACTAGACAAATCCTTTCAGAATGTCTTCTCTCTCTGCAAATGCTGAATGTGTGGAACAGAGACTTCTGTTGTTAATTTATGTAGAACTGGGCTGAGCTCCTGACTTACCTTTCATATGAAATGAGAAAATAGAAGAGGCAGTGTTAGTACCCAGCAAATACTATAGCTCATCTCTGTGTCCAAAGTGGTGTTCCAGAGGCACAGTGGCAACTCTTTGCCTCTGTAAGGCTGGGGGTTGTGGCTGAGGTTACTGAATCAGTGGAACAGGACAGATGGCCCTGTTGGCTGGCTTTCCCAGATAAGTGTCCCCATTCTTTTTAGGTAAAACTGGAATGATCCACTTCATTATGAAAGTATCAAACATCAACTTACCACCTACTGCTGATATTCTCTTGAGGTCTGCAGTGAGATGAAGTGCCTCTGGAATCAGATGGGCTTACTGCCTCCAAATGGGACAGAGAGGAATGAGTTGGGGAGAACTTTTTGTGAGGGGAAGATGGGGTTCGGGCTGAGGATCCCTGTACACCATGGGCACCAGGGTCAGAGAGTGAGTTACTGCTGCCTTGCCCAGCTCCTGCAGACTTGCTTTTGCTCTGTGCAGAGTCACCTCCCCCACCGGCAGAATTCTCCTTGGCTTCTTGTTTCCGTTTGCGGTACTCCAGCAGGGATACCTAGGAAGGAAACAAGAAACAGGGCTCGAGCTAGACATTGTTAATGGATCAGCAGCAATGGGGAAAGAAGATGGGACCCTAGTAAACCACTAGCAAGCCATGCAAACAAAGCAGGCACCAACACTGGCGACTTTTTTCAGGCATGAGAGAGATCTGAGCACAGCTACATATTTAAATCAGTCAGGAATTGGTAAGGAGAAGACAAGACACTAGCAGATGACATTTTGAAGAAAAGTGTTCACCAGTAGAACTCAACCTTTTTTGTCTTCAGAAAAACCTGTGAGATTAGCTACTGAGTAACAGAAGCGTGCTATGATAGTTACATGCAACAATGGCAGCACCTAGAAAAGGGATGGAGGAGAGTTGGGAGCTCCTGTAGTTTGAAACAGCTGTTCTTTCCTGACCGCAACAGAGTCCTCTCCTTGCCCTGCCCAGCACAGCTACTCTATAGACGCTGGTCTAGCCCACTGTGCCTGCACTGTGCTTACACTGGCTCTCATCTGTTACGTTTGCTCGTTCCCCAACTAAACTGTATGGTTCATGAGGCCAAAGACCAAGCTTATTTAGCTTTTTATCTTTTTTTTTTTTTTTTT